TCGGACAGTACGCTGTCGCAGCGGAGGTCGATACACCCGCTGTACTGTCTTCGTGCATACTTAGGTATCCTCGTAATAACCTCATATTATTTTTGAATCAATCGCTGGTTACTCATAATTTACATTTGGATGGCATCTGTTAGCTGTGTTTGTTTAGGGGCAGTGGGAGAATACCTTTATTGTACCAGTAGAGTTAATCCATTTGCTCCAGCATGACCACCACAAGCTAAAAAAATACACATTTTGCAAATATAAAATGTATATGGTCAACGGTACGTTAATAACATATAATTAGATACACAACAAATGCCAAAAACATTGTAAAGTTTTTAAGATATTAAGATCAGATCTGCCACAAAAACCCCATAAATAGAAAAAAATCAGCCAATGTCTCTGAATGATCACATCGGAGAGTGCTACGTTCCATATAACAGACTCACTAACATCAGATTGCGGCTCTGCAATTGTAGCTTTTATAATGGTGTTATAATAACGTATCACACTTATATCAGCGTAACTCTAACACGGATTAATAGAGATTCGAAACCTTAAGTGATAGAAATTGAAGATTCATTGATACAGCATTTGGATTACGTTATCGCAGATGTCAGTTCGCAAAGCGATTAGATCAACATATACAGGAACCTTAGTAACGCAGCATGGATTTAAATTAAATAAAGTATTCACTAAGTATAGTAACATATTTCATTTATCTACTTTTCTAAAGCGAATGTTTAGAAAATGACCACGATGAATTGCATATATCTAAATGTAATGCGACGATATAGCGAGTATGTGTCCATCTCCACTAAGTATAACAATGAGTTGAATCACAGCGACTTCGTCGTGCAAATGTGGGAGTGAGAAACGAACTCGCCTTACAGGCATTTCCGATGAAGTTGGTGCGTTCTTTCATTACTGATGGACAATAATCACTGTTGCAAAAACATCATCTTTGTCACTCTTCGATCACGGAAAATGCACTTTAACCGAACACGTTCACGCCTTGCAGCCATATATGCGTTGTACAAATACAGTATGTATTGTTATGAATAAAAATTACAGTCGAAGCATTAAATGCGATGAATTTAGGTTCTGGAAATTACACTTTTATAGAAATCGTAGAAAAATTAATCATGTCGCAGCTGAAATTCTGTGCAAATAACGCGGACTCGTCATAGGAATATGCATTGTACATTTCATCTGGGTGCTATGTGGGTCATTATAACCTCGCATGGAAAATGCATCACGTCTCTTTCCCGCCTATTCAAAATATTTTTTTAACGGAAATCAATTCACCACAGCCGTTAACCACACATGTTTAGATGCAACGAAACTCCTTATTGCAATCAAAAACTATTGCCAATACATTCATTGAGTCACTATGACAGCTGTGGGCCACAATCTCTCGAAGAATACATTGGCACAAAATACACGGCCACATGAAGCATTGGCAGCACTAGACAGCTGCCAAATGAGTATAGAGTCACAGTAGAAATCGGAATGAGCTCAATTATACGATATCGTACCTGGCAACGTGTATATATACTGATGCGCATTCAAAGTGACCAATGACGCCATACTATGTACAGGGAGTTTCATACATGCACAGTTTTGAGTTCATTTCTCGATAAAGAATGGACTGTGTGCATTTAGAGGATTCGCTCAAAAAGTGATGGACAGTTACATACTTATACATTGTATTTATACTATATTTGTGTTTTTGGGAACTAATAATCAAAGATGATTTCCAGCAGATAGATAATTGGCGAGGAAAAATGTAAATTGGTAAAACATGAATTGTATATCTTCATTCAAATAAAATATCCTGACCCTGACCCGTGGCCAAAATTGTGCTCATAAAATGAGACATAGGTTGTAATAATTTGGTGTAAACGTTATAGTTCCCGTCAAATAGTGCCTCATGGGTGGGCCAACATTAATAGTCTCGATTTTAGGAGACATAGTAAAAAAATACTAAACAGTAATAACGATACACCATTGTTTTTACACACACTGTATTCATGTTCATTCATGAACAACACGAGTATTGGTACCCCATGTTTTTCATTTCGAATTCTGTTTCATGTTAAGCATATAATCTCGTGCTTATAATGAGTGTATGCATTTGTGTATATGGCGGCAAACGTCGAGTTTGCATACACAGATAATTGATGCCTTGCCGACAGCAAGGAATGTCGGCGATAAACCACTGAAAAGGTCAATATTATAACATAGATTAGCGGATGATCTGAGATGCATGCGTTTACTGGTGGAAATCAGTATTTTATCCCCGAGATGATTATATCCCAACAGATGGGGTGGATACGTTGGTTAGCCTATTTGCACCTGGAAGACTGTGGACAATTCACGTAGCCTACTGATCACTCACTAATTTAAAATAGAATGTTCACTCCAGTTCACTGACCTTATAACAAGTGTCCTTCCATCGATTACCCGCCCCCCCCCCCCTACATGTCAGTTTGAAACAAAGTAGCTAGAATACTGCTATACGTTGACCAGATATGTGTAACTGTCGTATGATTATATACAAAACAACTCAATATAGCAGTAGTGAGGTTTATACACATGTACTGAAGATTTAATAATATTCAGTGTAATTTGACATGCGATATCGCAGTGGTGTCAGACAAACTGAAGCAAACAACTGGAAACACATCATTTGACAAGTTGAATGACAGATGAAAAATGACGTACTCCCTTGGGTCAACGTCCTCGTATACAAAGCAAATATAATACAACATACTTGACATGAACTGACTTAATTGTCAGTATAACACAAGGTAACATCCAGTGCAGACGTAGTCTTTGTTATCGATATGGTTTTGCATCACATTAAATCATTTTATTTTCTGTCACAGGATACCTGCTAACTGAGTTTTATCAAATAATGTTTTATCTATGGATGTCAGAATATATATCGTACACAAGAGTGAATGCACACATCGGAGAATCGTGTTACTCCCAGTGTATGCTTACTCCATACCAACAGAAGTCATGCTTATCATACCGTCCTGCGTCAACAGCTGTCGTATGACCTGTAAGTCTGGCTATTAGGTGCGGGAGACTGAAGAATGAAGTGATATTTTGATCCATACATTCTGACGTGTCTATCTGCTACTCAT